GGGGGGGGGGGGGGGGGGGGGGGGGGGGGGGCGTGGAATACACACTGCCGTGGGTGAGAAGAAAGCAGAAAAATAGGTAGGTTGAATCGGCCATGAAGAAAACAGAAGTTATCGGGCACAGTGAACAAAATTCAGAACTTTCTGATTTACTGCGGGGTTCTATCTTTTTGTCTTTTGAAATTTACTTATGTTTTTAAATTCTTTACCCTAAACTCTTGCCGTCGCCACCGCGCCGTCTCAACCTCGTCCTCGCCCATTTCTCCCTCGAAACCAAGGTCCCTGGCCCGGTTTCGCAGGAGAATTAGTGGGTTTGAGGGTCGTGCTGGAGGTAGCAATGACAATGACAATTGATCAAGAATACAATTCTTTTAGTTTTGTATAATTATTTTCAAGATATATAGAATAATTATGTTTAAAGTGATTACGTGCATGTCAAGTGACCATTTAGCAAAATTCACGCGATTCCCTTTTCCATTTTTCAACCCGGAATATTTTCTTTAACAGCAAAAAGTATATAAATTCTCTTGTTCGTGTCAATTTTTATGTCATAATTACTTTTTTTTTCTTTTTATTTACGTGTCAATATTGAATACAAACACTTGAAAGTGATAAAATCCAACTCCAATACTATGGAAAAATCTAGCTGGATTCAATGCATGGACAAGAAAATTTAAAATCTTCAAAGCTGGAATAGATGATTGGTCGATAATTGACGAATTTTATTACACAAAGAATGATCTAAGTAATTGACACTTTTGAGACGCTCTCTCTGACGCTAGCATTGTGTGATTCACGTAAAATATTAACTAAGTTATGTTTGGAATAAAGGAGTACGATGCAATATGTTTATAGTCAGTTTAAATCGAAATAGATTTAAAAATATCTATTTGTTATTCAATATAATCATATGAACGTTCGAACCCATTAGTCATCTCCTGTTTTAGTTAGCTCTTTTACTCATTCACATGGACGGGATATTATTTGAACTCATTACAAATCGAAAATATTTCAAAAAGGCCAAAAACGTTACCTCAATTTCTCTTAATTTTTAGTAAAATTTGGAAACATTGAGGAAACTTTAAGGAAATATTTGACTAAAATATTCGAAAAACATGAATCAAGAATTTCACAGTATTATAGAATTTTTGTGGATTTCAACTTATAATTAATTTAGTTTTGGGATATAAGCCTATAGCTAAAATTTACATATTTGAGACTTCAAATCTTTTTTTTTTTTGGAAAAAAAAAAATACTTTTTTCCCATTTCTACATCCGAGTCGTCACAAAAGGGATGAATAAATGCTATATGTATAATTTGGAGAATCATTCTCATGTAATGTGGGACGAAATAATAAGGTCAGTTAAATGTGTGGATATGAGACACATCTATTAATTTTATAATGGATATGGGATCGACAAAGTTACTAAGAACATTTCACACTAAAAACATAATTTTATAATGTATCATATTTTCGTAGTTTCATCTGTCATAAATATATTTACAAAATTCTCAGATAGAAATATTTTGTTTTAAAACAAAAGGCATTTCAACAGAACCGATCCACAAATTTCCATTTTCTTCCTTTACTTCACTAACAAATTGCCATTTCGTGGAATCCAATATTTTTTCTATATTCCCATCCTTATTCAATTTAATTCCCATTCCAGTGCTCCCACTCAAATAAGCCAAATGTGTGTGCCATTTTGTAATATCCAAAGGAAGTTTAATCAAATTATTTCCAATCCAAGAATTGGAAATAATCCAATCCAAGAATTTCCCTTTTCTTGAATTGATCCCAATCCAGAATTCCCCATTCCCATTTCTTTTTATATTATCTGGGAATCCAGGGAGTGTTGCAATTTCTTCAAGAATTCCAGCTTTCTGGGTTTTAAGCCAGAATTTGAGTAATTTGCAAGTAGTAGTCTCTGCAAGAATAAGAAAATCCCAATTTCTGCTCAATGCAATTCCATTTGGGAACTTCAGATTTTCCAGAATAACTGTGGTTTCATTATTTCTTGGATCATATTTCAGGAGTCTTCCAGTGCTGTCACCACTAAGAATAACTGAAATAAAATTCCTGCGAAATTCAAGATCCAAATTTTTTAATTTGGGAATTAAAATTCCTGCATGAGAATTATTTTTCATAAAATTATTTAGCTATGATTTTTAATTTGGGATTTTGCAGTTGAGATCCTCAAACTTTCACAAATAAATAAAACGGGTCCAATAAAATGGAAAATAATCTAACCTTCTTTGGTATCGTCTACTGCTGTCAGTAAAATAAACGACTCCTGTGCTCTGATCAATATCCAAAGAATTTGCGAAGCCCAAATCAAGCCCAGGCCCACTTAGTTGAGTAGGCAGACCACCACTTGGGCTTACAACAAGTAGACCCATATAAGCATCAGCAATGTACAGATGGCCCGTTTTCTCATTGAAACGTAGGCCCAATGGTCTTCCACAGATGTGCTCGGTTGTAGAGTGATCATGTTTTCCTTCACAACTATCCCTATGCATTTAAAACAAAACAAAAAACGAACGTAGTCGAATAGAAAGGAAGAAAGAACAAATTATGTAAAAATAGAAAGAAAGAACAAGTTGATTTGAGAACACGATGACGTGTGTTTGTGTGTATAAGGATCGAGAAACTGATATTTATTTTGTCTCAAATGCGACGTCACTGAAATAGGATATATATACGAAGCAAACTATATTTGTTTTTTTCTTTTTTATGGTGAAATTATTAGGCCAAGAAATGAGCCGTGTTAAACCCATGTTTGGAAATTCAAGGAGATCGTAACTCCTATCAATGAATTGACAAATAATCACAACCCTTAATTATCTGATCTAACCATCTAAATCTATCCTTGCACCCACAAGCGAACACTCTCCAAAAAAAAAAAAATTACATATAGAAAAAATATGATATGAGATTTATATACTTTGCTTTCAATGAGTTGGTATAACTACTAAACATATAAATCAATTTTAACATTTTAAATTTTGATTTCTTTTTAAAAGGATAATTCTTACTATACATATTTCATTCTTGTTGAATATTCTCCTCTTTGTGTATCTATACATGGTCATGCACACGAAATGAATTTCTCCCATTCTTGTGGACATGAATTTCATGTTGTAACGAACAAGAAGAAATGCTAACCTCTTTGGGGATGTCACGGCGAAATCAATCCAACGACTTTCATTTCTACTCCACTTGATAATCCGGCCATCGGACACCCCGGTGTAGGGCCCATCACCATTTGTGTCAAACTCGAGGCTCTCCGGCCCAACCGCGCCGGAGATTGGTATTACTTGAGGGGGTTGAAATCCAAGATTTCTCAACAAGGTCTCGTTCTTGAATGGTTGAGTTTTGGCACGATCAAGAGAAAATAGGGTTCCTAGAAGAAGAGTTGATAATGAAAATAAAAGGAATTTTATGCTCATTGCTTTGGCATGGTATACAAGTGGAGTGGTCATACTTTTTATTCTTGAAATTTTACAACCACATAATATCAAAGAACTTCATCTACACGCACATATATACATGTGTATGTATATGCATGTGTATTATAAGTAAAGACGAAGTTAGGGGGAAGGGACAGTTTTTCTTTTTGCACTCGACTAATACAGTTATTCGTGCACATAGGGGGGGTGGGGGGGTGGGGTGTGTGTTAGGTAAGGGGATAGGCTATTAATATGAGGCTCAGATTTCTTGGTTCTATTTTTGAAATCTTTACTAGGCCTCCCTAATTTATATAGATGTATGGACTATAAGAAGTAATACCATTCTTTGACAAAATTCAAGCTTTGATGTGCCTCTCAAATTAATGATAAGTGAAGTGTTTATAGCTATTAAAACTTTGAATGAGACTTCTAGCTATATTTATAATTTTGGTTAGAAAAATGAAGTCCATTTTAAAGGAAATTAATAGACAAATTGTATCGTGCGTTCTTCTTTCTGAATCATGTTCAGTCATTTACAGTTTAACACACCAAATATTTCATTTAGAGGTTTAGTCATGTGTTATCTCCCAAAAAAAATTTCACGATCATTTTCGTATATATTGTTTCTTATTTTATTTTCGCCTTAATGTTCAAAAATATACTCTCGAAGTCTTGATAACAAGATTTCAAGTCATAAATAATTTTAAATAATGTGGCCCCAAAAAATTTGTAATCTTGAAGTGTATAGATAACAAACAAGATTCCGATCCATTAATTCATACAATGATTCAAAAAAAAATTTAATTATTGTGTCCCACCAAAACCTTTCTCATCAGCCACCAACATTGGAAAACCCCAATAATTTGTATTGCTTGATGTCTAATTCGATCCACCGGGGTACAAGTATATAGCATTTGACCAGGAACGGATAAGTGGGGAATGCAATCTGACAATCTTTGTCTATTCTAAGATTATGGGGCAGTGTATGAACAGGAAAAAAACAGTCGAGAACAAGGAATTCTGAGGTAAATTTTCTTTTGGCTGTAAGAATCTAAATTATACATAACATATTAGTGGTGTACCAGCTCTGCCTATCTAGATGAGGATAAGTAACGTGTGATCGGATTTATTTTTCTAGATTGCCATCTATCAATGTATCTATCGTTGAGAAGCGTTGAATCACCCGTATAAAAAGCTCGGTTTGATCAACGTATTTTATTTTAATTAAATACACACGTTTTAAATTACTTTCTTTAGTTGAACAAAAATACAGGGATTATCACATCTAGCACAAAACTGATTATCTACACCCTATACAATATCTCATAAATTTGAAATTTAAACCACATTGAAAGTTGGTAACGATCCCGCCCTCACCCAAGCTATTATCATACATATTGTCCACTTTTGAGAGTGTATGCTAATCTTACTATTTATGGATTTCCATCATGTTTCCTGATATGTGAACTCAATACTTTTACTTTATTTACTAGGGACTTAAGTTCATTTCCGGTACCAATTGGAGGACGCGATAGAAATTCTGAGGTGTAAGACTGGCATATGCTCTCTTAAAGTGAACAATACGTATGAACGATTTAAACACGAGGTTTGGGTAGTTCATTATTTGATTACGGATTGTAAATTCCTATAAAAGGCACCATAACAGACGCAACCCACAACTTGCCATTTCTCTCCTCAACTTCGCTTATGAACCTCAACGTTTTCCCTTCAACGTCTTCAAGAACTTGCAAAATTGTGCCGTCCTTGCTTAGTTTTACAGCAGTAGCATGGGGCTTACCTCCAACTAACAAGTAGTGCAGTTGAGGGAAGGTCAGAGGTAGCTTTAGCAACACTTTCCCTAACAATGAATTGTGAAGTGTCCATTTTGTGAGGAGTGCTGTCTTTGAATGCAGAGCGACCCAATAATCACCGTCTGAATTTCTTCTGATGTTGTCAGGAAATCCTGGTACCTCGACAAAGGTATCGTGTTTTCCAGCATTCGGGCCCTGAAGCCAAAACCGAATTATTCTACAAGTGGTGGTTTCCGATACTAATGCGAAGGAACGATCATCACTCAAGGCTACACCATTGGGAAAAGCAAGGCCTCGTAATAAAACTGTCACTTTTTTGCTTGATATATCGTATTTCATCAGTCTGCCTGTCCTGTCTCGGGTTAAAACACATGGGATGAATTCCCTGGATACAACATGCAAATCAGAGTAATTAGTTGGAGAATGTAAAGAGCTACTTTTCGTTTTTGCAAGTCATTTGGGTTAAATATCTGAAACTGAAGTGAGTTATTGAGTGAGATTAGATTGAGATCAAGGTTTACAGAACTTCCAGGATATGTTTGATACGCGGTATTGGATATGCCGTACAATGAACAAGATTTTATTTGTTTTTCTTTCAATTCATCCTATTTCATTAGATCCGGAGTGTAATAGGGTTCCAAAGGATGAACAAGATTTGGACAGTTCCAACAAGATTTCATTCTTGAACAAAATTCCACTTTTTGATTTATTTCATCTGCATATTGACTTTAAATTTCTGTTACTTCTCAAAAAGCAAAAGAACTCATTACTTCCAAGTCTAAGAACTGTAAACAAAAATCCACTGTGGTACTAGTTATGAGAGATGCCCAGTTTTTTTCCAAGTTGAAGCCATTTAAATATTGTTTTCATCAAAGGATAAATATCAACCAAAAACTAGTTTCGATTAGAATTTCGTTCAGCAATAGTCTTGTAGGTGAAACTTGGTAAAACAAAAGGTAAGTACCTTCTGTGGAATTTGGTGCTGCTATCCGTGAAGTAGACAACATCGTTTTCCTCATCAATGTCCATGTCGTTGGTGAAGTGAAGAGACTGGCTGTCAACTTCTGTTAATAGTTGAGTAGCCAATCCTCCAGTTGGACCAACTACTTGGAGGCCTAAGTAAGCATCAGCAATATAAAGATCTCCAGTTTTCTTGTGAAACCGTAGTCCCAATGGCCTTCCACATATGTGCTCCATTTCCGGAGCAAATGGACGATAACATTCCTTCCTACAATAGCAACATCAATTATTCAATTACGTCTAAATATAATAGACTCAACGATGCTCAACTCCAAATGTATAATGTGAGTAGCCTGAGATGGGTTTGGCCATCCACCTTTCAATTTTTGCTTAAATGGAAATAGATGTCCGTTTCAACTTCAGACTGTAGCTAGAAGTCTCTTTGTACTTAATTTTTTCCAATATGAACAAACTGGAAGTCGTTTGTACTAAATCCTCCACCAGGTCACAAAATAGTTTTCCTCTTCTCGCTGTATGTATTAAATCACTTTGTTCTGGCCTGTTACTACTGTCATAATGCCTCAAGATATCTAACAAATTCAGACATATCCAAAGTGCTTAAAGGTTCACTACCAAGAGCACAATTGGCTAAGCTGAAAAAAATTCCGTATAAGTAAATAAGTAAAATTTAAATTTATAATGTGTTTAATTGCTTAATGTTCTAAATACATAAGTTACTTAGCTTGCCAGTGAAGTAAGAGTTGCTTTCCAAATGTTTTCTTTTTTCACTTAAAAGTAAGAAAAACGCATCATGTCCAAACATGTTTGGAAACAAACATCTTTTTTTAGCTTTGCCCAAAATGCGTCTTTTTTTTAATATCTCGGCATCCATCCCAATTAGAAACCTCTAGGCAAGCTACTCTAAATTAAATGGAAACCTTAGATGATAACTACAAAGATATGCTCTCCAATCTGCAAAGCTGCATTTGTCTACTCTTCCCATATTCATGATTCAAGATCAATAATATGTAACCAAAACCTGCTCCGATTAACAAACGCTAAAAAAAATTTAATTGTCTAATAGAATGGCTTACTTTATAAGATCTTTATCGTCTAATTGAAAGCTGCTATTATTTACTAATTTCATTTTCATAGTAATATTGTCACGCAACACGCAAATTAAGCCCACAAGGCGATTCAAAAGGTCAATAATCTGTGTTATGTATAGTTTTGTGGGACATAGCACTGGTGATGAGAATAAGGGACAGAAGCCAAGTTTTCGGGACTAAAATAAGATGAAGACCTTAAAGTTCTATCTACTATTACAGACTTTATTACATCTTTATAGTAGACCCAATATCAGTAAGCACACTTAAATATTTTACGCTTAACCTATCAATTACCCCCAAAACGGTGTCTTCAACTTTCGAAATGTAGAAAAAAATAATCAAAACAATGTATTTGATTTGAACTTTGTGTGTACTCACTTGATAACTTATCAGTTTTCTTGTTTTTAACCAAACGCCAAGCTGGATTCTTGAAGATTTGACTACATCAACGTGTAATACTGAAAACTAATCGAGGCTGGCAATTGTGCAAAGCTAATGAATTAAGATTAAGACTATCATAAACTTTCCCATGAGGGACCTAATCCCTATTAGGTGAGCAACCCAGTGAAAATCGAAAACAGGCAAAGCAAATACACAAATTTATAGTTACCACTTCTCCTTGCATATTTTCACTATAAGTCTATAATAGAGTACAGAATACAGTAAAATTTGTTGAAGTCCTTGTACAGAAACAATATTAAGGAAACCTGGTAATCGAGGGGACACAGTTCAACAATCCTGTGATTTGGCAATTCGTTTACCTCCTGTAATCCTATTCCATTAACTTAGCCTAATAACACTCAGAAAGAAACCTAATTTGTATTTTCCCCTCAATTTCATCGACAGATATAATCACAATTATCAAACAGGGCGTAAAATCCGAGACGTTTAATGGGTTTACCTTTGTGAGGAAGTGACTGCAAATTCAACCCAGACATTGGAATCATTGCTGGTTTTCCACTTGAGAATCCGGCCATCAGCCACGCCGGTGTAGGGACCTTCTCCATTGGAATCAAATGCAAGACTCTCCGGCCCGACTGCTCCGGATAGGTGGATCCGTTCAGCCGAGTGGAGCAAGTCATCCGACCCGGGTATAGTGGGTGGGAAAAACACACTTGTAGCGATTTCTCCATAGTAAAAAGCTATGGCTGCTGAAAGCACCGCCAGTGCTATTGCAGTCAAGATAAGCTTTGAATTCTTCATGGCCTTGCTTCTCTGGGATCGTTTGAACAATCATGCTACACAGGCTAAAAAACGGTTCAAAAAGGGAGACACGTGTCAATTGGACGGTTTTTAAAATAAAAAAAAAAACAAACAAACACCGGGTCAGTTGAACTGTTCGATCATCGTTATCCTAGTTCGAAATGAGACATGTAGTGTTTTTAAACTGCCAAGAAAAGCTGATTAATGCTATTCATCCTTATTGAGGATGAAAACACAGTTTACGTGACTATAAATGATAAGTTAAATGGAGGACGGGAGGAATAACATTACTCAGAAAAGCTGGTCCCTTTTTTTCCAATGTTTCTCTATGGACCTACTTACCCGATTACTGGAAAATAAGTAAAAGCTAGGTGGGTCTTACGCATTTACCCTATAATTTTTTATTGAATAATGTTATTTATGACCACTTATAATAAACACTAGTCTACATCGTGATTACGTAACATTAAGCCTTTGTTAGTTTTCCTAACTATACTAAAAGAGGCACTTTGCCACGTCATCGTCGCCCAATACGACGCCGTTTCGTTCTTGCGCGTGTTTTCCTTCAATTCGTCATTTCCCACCGCCTCACACACGTAAAATTCTCTTTATCCCTCATTTCTCTCGCTCTCTCCTCTCGACAATCAACAGATCTACGCGTTTCCCCCAAATCAACCCTACTTCATCTTCTCCCCCATGAACACCAGGTAAATCTTTAATTTCTTCCCTTAGAGAGCTGTTGCGAAGCCCCTCATCACCTTCTTCGATTCCCCAATATGGATACAC